GCATTTTCATCATATTTTTGTCAAAAGAACAATTAAAATGAATTATCATTACGATGCATAGATTTCATGACAGAAACCCTTTGTTAACGAACATGTTCACCAGTCATTTTTGTTGATGAGAACAATGACTCGTTTCCCTCAAGATTTATCAAAACTGGCTCGAGCTTGCCTTGGGAGTTACGATTGAAGATCTCTTGATCATCATATACCAGGACATTCAGAAGATTGAGAATTCCTCCTTGAGCAGTTGTTAGTGTCAGAGATGCGGGACTGTATTGCTGTGCCTGGTGAACGGACCTCACTGATGTGGAGAAGAGGGGCTTTGATCAAGTGTGGTTCGGCACTGAGTGCTTTCGGCCCTTTCCTCCCTTGACTGCTATATAACTGTACGCATACACAGAGAGAGAGAGATGAGATGAGAGATCTGTTCTGGTCCCATACTCTCTGATTCAGCTTGTCCTGCTCTGGTGCTCCGCAGTTGCAGACGGATTCCTCCGGGAACGCTCGGCGCAATAAAGAACAAAAGAGCCAAGCAGAGTTATCACACTATGCTGTGTCTGGGCCAGGCAAAACCACATGTATTTTTAATGTGCTGCAAATAAGAAATACAGCCTAGATTTCTCTCTCTCTCTCTCTCTCTCTCTCTGTCTCAGTGGCTAATAAAGAGTCTTATCATTACCCACAAGACTTGGTTCAATTTAACGCCGAGCTTTGCTGACATGAGATGGGTTCTCCCTGATATTTTCAGCCTTCAGCGATTTCGCAGGGCACTTTGTGAGTGTGTGTGTGTGTGTGTGTGTGGTGGTCTATAGCCCATTGCTTACTGTACTAATGACTTCACCCTAAAGTTTTGGGCTGACTGGCAGACCTAGTTAAGCTGTCTTGTGAAGTGGAAAGTCCAGTGTGTGTGTAAACTGAAGGGTGATTCACCTATCATCCTTATTTTGAGTTTATTTTCACATGGCTGAGCATTTAAAGTACTGAATTCACTACTGCTGTAACTAGTTCCAACTCTTTGAACGATGCTTGGAATATTAAAACTTGAATGTACTCTGGCATCCTGTTTTTAGCCTTCTTTTTCATAAAAAAGCAAGTAATTTTAGCTTGATACTGGCATGTTCAGTATGTCAGCCTGCTAAGTATAGCGATTTCGTTTCTTCCGTCAACCTGCTTCTATTTGTACTCGCTTTAATTTTGCATGAAGGCTAAAATCTCGGAGGAAAATTATATTGCTGTTTTGAACATGGCATCATAAATGTGAAAAAGCTGAAGATTTGGTGTGCTTCTAAAAGCAAACGCCAGGAAAAAGGGGGAATAAAACCAGGCAAGAAGGCAAGTTGTTTTCCAGTGAAGCATTTTAGCTTGGTTCATTTGAGGTCTTGGCAGATAATTATTTCGTTTAGCCTCAGGTTAATGCAGACTGTGCTTGCTTTTCTCTTGCATCTTCATTCTGTATGCCAGACGGAGTTAGTCAGTTAATCACACATTCTGATATTGTTGTGCAACTTAGAAAAATATGGATGGAATTGTTCTGGAAGCTCGCAAAGGTTGAAATGCAATTTCTTCTAGGAGTGTTTTAGCAGGTTGTTGCTGTGTTTTAGCATGTTAATAATATAAATTCATACATTTTCTCATTATATCAGGTTGTACTAGTATGTGAGTTCTTGAAAGATAATATTGTCTCAAATGGAATCCTAAAGGTGCGGTCATTAGCGAAATTTCGGAGAACAAAGCAGCTTTCTGTTGCGTAAAATGAATGACTAAATATAATTGACTAAATATATTAACTAGCCTAAATATAATGTATACTTAAAATACAGATGCATACTTAAGTGTCAGCCCACTGTATATAGACATATTCTAGTTTTTGTTGCATGCCTTCATTTTTTGGAGTCTCCTAAAAGTTTTGTGTGTGTGTGTTGTCTGTGATGTATTAATACAGAGTGTTTCTTTTTTTCTCTGGTGTTTTTTTTTTCTTTTATGGGGTACATGCGCTATTTCCCTATGGGCCCGACAGGAAAGTGTGAGCAGCTTTTATCTGCTTTGTATCAACCCCAAGTGCAAAAGGAAAAACACAGGAAAGATGCGATTGTGTGTGTGGAAGTGTAGGAATGTGTGAGGATATCGTCACTGTGGAGGCTGGCGTCTATGTTATTTTCTGACACTAACTAATGACCAGCACAATCTCTGTGTTTCTGTATTGTTAGATTTACGACTTTAGCGGGACGCCCACCGCTTTGAGTCCTACCGGCCCTCGTCAGTTCTCTAAGAGAGAGCAGGAAGCTTTGACTTGGATTTATGACCCGAACAAGACAGAAAAAACTCTTGCGCCATGTACAGACAGAGCTTTGTTTTTGTCTGTTGAGCGTTGTGGTTTTATCAAGGGTGGACTCCCAGCAGAGCAAAGGTCTAGGAAGACACAGGAAGTAGCACGTTGTCTTCCTGTTTGCTTTCCTGCATTAAGATGACAATGTAGGTGGAGTTTTTTCGTGTGCCATTTTTACATTTTTTTTTTTTTCAATTTAGCAACTATTGTGAGGCTAGAAATACATAAGAAAAATATATTTTTTGCACTTTTTTCCATTCAGCAACTATTGTGATGCTAGAAGCATAATTTCTCTAAACATTTACTGTATCTGATCAAAAATACAGTAAAAATAGTATTATTGTGAAAAATTAATTTTTTAAATAACTGTTTCTAGTTTAAGTATTAATTTCTTTAAAAAATTCACACTGAATAGTTGTGTAGCTGTATAAAGTTTTATTTACATTTTTATTAATATTTCTGTTTGGATCAATCACTTCTTTTAGACAATTTTCCTCTTGTACCTTATTGCTTAGATATAGAACAAGACGGACAGGGAGCTAATGTGTTTTTTGATTAATAACTCTATCAAACTGCAATATGGCATGATTATGCCTCTGGTGTAGATTTCTGTTTAGATTTGAACTGGCCTGTGCGGACTCAAGTTCCTGTCACTTTGGATCATCCTGCAAGTAGCCAGTTCCACAGCACCGCAGCGCTGAGATATTCTTCTGAAAGTGCACACGTTTTCTCTTTTGCAGCAGCTGTTCTCCATTTGTTCTCCTGCTCGCTGTCTTATGATAAGAGATTGCTAAGGAAAAGTCCCCATCCATTTTGAGGATTTTAATGTCTCCCTTGATATCAGTTGCTGAGGGGTTAGTCTTGTTGTCGATCTCAGTGGAGGTAGCAGGGTTTTTTTCATGCTTACCTAGACGCTTATTCTCTAAGAAAAAAAGAGCTGGAGCGAGGGAAAAAGAGATCAAAAGAATCCCACAGAGAGGCTTGCTTCACAAAGGGAAAGTAACATTTAAGAAAGTAAAAATAAAAGGGCCCTCGTGGGTCATTATTCTCAACTTTCTCGGCGTCCCCGCTGGGATAAGAGATGCCGTGCTGTCGTTGTTGGGAAAGCTCAGACAGAAGAACACAGTTCCACCATTAGGACCTTTCTTTGCTTTTAAAATGCTGATGTATCTCTTAGCATTTGTTCTGAACAGTGCAGATTTAATATATTTTACTATTATATGATATATGTAATATTATAATAGTAATATTATGTATTGTATATACTGTGTGTGTATAATATATGTGTGTGTGTGTATATATACTGTATGTATTTATATATACAGTGGGTACGGAAAGTATTCAGACCCTCTTAAATTTTTCACTCTTTGTTATATTGCAGCCATTTGCTAAAATCATTTAAGTTAATTTTTTTTCCTCATTAATGTACACACAGCACCCCATATTGACAGACAGACACAGAATTGTTGACATCTTTGCAGATTTATTAAAAAAGAAAAACGGAAATATCACATGGTCCTAAGTATTCACCCCCTTTGCTGTGACACTCATATATTTAAATCAGGTGCTGCCCATTTCTTCTGATCATCCTTGAGATGGTTCTACACCTTCATCTGAGTCCAGCTGTGTTTGATTATACTGATTGCACTTGATTAGGAAAGCCACACACCTGTCTATATAAGACCTTACAGCTCACAGTGCATGTATGTATATATGTGTGCCAATGCATACTATAATTTATAATTTAAATATAATTGTCATAAATTGGAATGTATTGTTTGTGTACATACCTGTAATATCAATTCTAATTCATTTTACTGCATTTCATAAAACCAGTATTATAGATGTACCAGGGCTTTCTACTTTTTTATTTTTTCATTTATTTATTCTTATAAATCATAATCGATATTTTATTTTATTTTTTATTTTTATTTTTAATTTAATTTAACATTTTTATAAATTTTTTATTTTTATTTTATTTTGGGCTTTTTTAAATTGGTATTCACTTCATTGTTTTTTTCTAAAGTAGTATAATCTATAGCAGATATAATCCAATTACTAAATGTTTCAGTGACTCCTCTTTTTATTTCTCTAATGAAACTTATTGAATTATTGGCTTCACCACTTGAAGAATAGCGAAAAAGGTGTAACAGTGTATTGTGGTGCCAAACTCTCCTGTGTGGCTGATTGTCCCTCTTAAGTAGAGAGGAGTGGAATATACTTTTACTCTGTCTGTTTTTAGCACTCTTATCCGGGTGACGGGAGGGATTTCTGAGACAGGCCGCTGTCCCCGGGCCGCCCACTGCACTATCAGAGATCAGAAACATGGCATCAAAGAAACGGCCGGGCCCCAGCCACGTCTGCTTAAACTCACCACAGCAGCTCTACGTGTAGCTCTGACAGAAAACACGCAGCCTGAGCATTTAGTGCTCAATGGCGTTCATTTAGGAGTGTAATGATAGTTCTGCAGTACAGCTGCCAGCTCACTGGTACCTCAAATCTCTATTCAGTGCAAACGTCTGGCTTTGGAGTGTTCTTGACCTTCAGGTTCCACATCTTTGTTGGCTCTCATCTGAATGATAGTATGCTCTGCATTGAACTAAAGTGCTTCTTTTGAACGTATTCCCTAATTCAGACACTCATGTTGTTTTTCTCTCTTTTGTTTCCTCTACAGCAAACTCTTCTCTGCTCGGCGGTGGAGGAGGTAAGTGTCTTAACTTACTACATTTTCATTGTAACATCGTTTTGAGATGTTAGGTGGTTTCTCCATGAATTAGACGGTGGAAAACACATCGCCGTCCACTGGCACATGAAATCTGAGGTGTCCAACCATGTCTGTGGTTGCCCATGTGGTCGGTTAATGGAGCAACAGTACCCAGGCCCTCATTTGGAAACATTTCTGCACACATTTTGTCATGATTGAAGTAATTACACACAAAACACAAGACATGACAGAAGGAGTAAAGAAGTGTCAGGGTTTGGGGTCAGGAATCAACCCAATTACAACTGGAATTTTGATCCACCTCACTTTTATAGAGGAATCCGTTTAGTCCTCAGATAATGAATGTAGGTCAGTCGTGCGCCCCTTTTCGCACGATCCATTGTTTATCCATCTGTGCCACGGTGTCAGGGAGGGTCCTTCTCCCCTGCCACATCTCGGGAGCAGACCGCACTTGATTGGGTCCCTCGTGAGGAAGCGATTACCACTCGTGATACACTATCCGTCTCACATCACACTCTCCTTAGTACGGCTCTTATGTTATCTGATGTGTGCTAAAAGCCCCCAAACCCCCGTCTTTCTTCATCGTAGCTCTAGAATAGACCCTTATCAGCCACTGTGACCGATTTCCCTGATTGGAGAAGTGGCGAACAAAAAAAAAACCGGGCTGATTAAGGCCAGAGGTCACACGTCTGTGACAAAACTACTTACCACAGCACTTGTCAGTGAATCGCTGTGACCCCCACAACTGGGAGTCAAATGTTTCTTTATTGGCACCTCGTTGTATGTCATCATGGTCCTTTTATTGATTTGTCACGATGCGAAACGTCTCGAGGGCAATTTGGTTTCTTCATTATTTTGCCATAATTGGCTTTTGATATTGGGGTGTGTGTGCACATGTGTGTAAGGGAGACTATTAGAGGATGTTCATCAGCAGCGGCAGGTGAACGAAGGCTGATGTTTCACTCTGGGAATATTTTTGTACCTGAAAAAGATCTGTGAAAGGAAATATGCCTGTTAGCATTGCATCTGGAGGTGTTTTTTTCCCAAACATGTCAGCCTGCAAACAAAACTCACATCCCTGATTTAAAAAAAAAAAGAGCTTATTGTCGTGTTCAGCACTGAAGGGAGTTTAATCAAAGCCCATATCAAGAGCATTGTCTCCCCTAATTGCCATCCCCAGATGCCAGTGCTAGAAAACCAATTAACCCGTAACTATAAGACATTTGGTGTAGTGTCAAAGAAGATAACAAAAATGCTAATCCAAGGTTGGCAACATAAGAAAGCACATGTTAAACTCTGAAAACAGCATGAAGCAGGCACACTAGTTTGGGACGGACTGACGGGGAGATTTTAGGCTTTGTTCACACTGTACTCAAATCCAATTTGGTTTTCACACCCAATCTCTAGGCCAGTTCCTATGTTAATAATGTGAGTGTCAACACAATGCTTTTTAAAGTTGTTTTTTTTTACAGCAAATGTCACATACACTACCGTTCAAAAGTTTGGATCGATAAGATTTAAAAAAAAAAATGTGTCTGTTAGCTTTGATCAATTTAACACATCTTTGTTGAATGAAAGTTATAAGGATTAAAAAACTAAAATCTAAAATTGGTAGTTGTAATTGCTACAGGTGAATTTAAGCCTCACAGTGTTTCTTCACAGTATGAAAATGAATATTCATTTTGATATTTGCTAAAGATACATTTAGTACAGCATTATTACATTGTTAGTGTTTTAAAAGATTAAATGAGTGATAAATAATGACAAAAGTATTATTAAAGTAAAGATAGATTAAAATGCGCCCTGCTAAACATATAAACATATCTAATATGAAGTGAAATGATAAATAAAATATCCATTTGCTGATATATCATGCATCTCTATCTAAAAGAGTATTTGAACACTGCTCTAGTATACATTGTGCAAATAACAAAAAAAAAAAATAGAAATCTGATTTTTAATCAGTTATTTATTTATTTATTTTTTTGCTGTTCAAACTACAAAAATGAAACTAATTTGGGTAGGATGCACCAAAAATTCTGAATTTCTCTGCCTGTTTTGAACAAAGCCAAGTGTAATCCTTTGGCAATAATTGCAAAACCAAAGCAAAAGCTGTCTGACATGAGCAAAGCTCATTCTATGGTTTGAATGATGATCCAGGTAGCAAGAGTTTTTTGGCTTTTATCTTTTGGAGACTTCAATCTAAGGCGACTTTTCTCCCATTTTTTAATCTGTCTCTCCTGTTTTCACTCGAGACAAAGCTCTTCATTTCTTTCTCACTCTCTCCAGTCTAAAAAAAAAAATCTTGTATGTCCTGCGTGGCTTTATCTCTTGACCCTACGATATCAGCAGATACACAAACCTGTTTTCTTTTCTCCCCCTTTCCTACTGCCTATCGTTTATCGAGGTGAGGACCTCCATCTGTGATGAGTTCATCTCATTCGCTACTCTTCAGAAAGAAAGACTTAGGCTTCCTCTTATCTCTGGAAGGTTTTCCCTGCTCTTGTTTTGCTTTCTAATGACCTAAGATCTGGCAGAAACGCTCACTCTCTAATGTAAATAGAAGGGAAAGTTTCTACTGTGCGGAGCTTTGAACTCTGGGTGGGGCAAAAGGTCACGGTTATTTAAATGTCTAGTAAACTGTTTTGATGTTTTAGGCTTTAGCGTACCAGCATTTAGAGATGCACGATTATGACAAAAATCATAATTGTCAATTATTCCCTTGAAATTGTAATTGCGATTATTAATTACGATTATCACAATTTACATTTTGATGATATTTATACCATTGTTTGATGCAACTGCATGCCGTATTTTTATATGAAAATAAACAAGCTGAAAACACTCTAACGGGAAAACTTTTTTAGTGCTTTTCTATAGTATTAAGCCTCAAATGTCAACTACACATCGGATTGGTTTCTTCTTTAAATTATAAAAA